TGTGTTTAAAGTTGGATGTGAAGTAATTGCATAGGTTAGGTGGGGAGTATTTTGGAATTCCTTTAAAGAAAGAAGGCTGTGTGTGTATGTTGGGGAGGGGTGTGCTTGTGCTGGGCAGCCAAGGAGTGGAATGTAGTAGACACTTCTTGTATGTATTTGCCCTGAATCCTTTCCTTTGGGGGCCAGTTTTTCCCTCTCTCCATGTGGCTCTGGGGACATCCAGTGACAGACTCCTGACTGCTTTTGCCTCAGTACAAGGGTGGACATCTGAACCATGCTGGGCACACAAGGAGAAGGGAGCTGATCCTACTTGGTACTCCTCACAGCCTTTCTCACTCCTTTCTCATGGGCTGAGCACATCCTTTGAACCCTGATCCAGACTGGTCAAGGGGGGGCAGCAGTTAAAGTCTCCCGTGTCCACACTGCCCTTCTGTCTGTCAGTGGGTCGCAGATGTGTAACAGAGGGCTACCTGAACGAGAGAGGATCCTGCTGATGGCAAATGACAGCTTCGCTAAGCAAAATGGAAGACTAAGCTGGAGCTGCTTTCCCTAGCAAAGTAATGCCTGGCCTTCAGGTATCTGCCAAAAGGGACAGTGGGCAGCGTGGGGGCAAGGGGAGTCCTCCCAGGTAGCCCAGCTCTTGTCCCCAACCCTAGCCCCACTCAGCAGGAAACTGCCAGGGGATATGCAAGCCCACTCCCACCTCACTCACTCACTAGGCAAGGGCAAGCGTGGGCATGGAGTCTGACTGCCTGCCTGGAAGGCCATCTCTGCCTGCTGTTTGACCCCAGCAAGCTACCCACCTCTCTGAAGCTTCAGTCCTTCATCTGTAAATAGGACAAAGAGTGTCCATGCCTCATTCCCAAAGCCCACCAGGAATAGCTTATGGCACTAGGTGGCTGGGGCACAGTTGTATCTGGAACCCACTCCGCCTGTCCCAGCTCTCCTTATCTTGGGCCCTAGCACATCTCCTCACTGCCACTGGAAACAATCCCAAGCCCCTCTACTGAGGGCTTCCTGCTGACCCCTCTGGGTGAGCAGACAGAGTTACAAGCATGCACTGGAGGAGGGACTCTGTCCTGTGCCCCCTCAGAGGAATCTTAGTCTGTGGCTGGAGCCAGTGGGCCAGGCATTGATCTGCAAACTGCCCCCAGGAGACAAAGCACATTCCATAGGCTGCCATGGTTTCCTGCTACAGCTGCCCCTCCCTCTTCCCACTTCTTTTCCTCCTCCTACCTCTTACTCATTAGCCAGGCTGTAAGGTGACATGGGTTGGCTGTCAGGGGTGCCATGGCTAGCTGGACAAAGCTAGCTGGGAGACAGCTCCAGCTCATAAGCCTAGCTCATAGGCCTAGCTTGGAATGGACAGCTTCCAGGAAATAGGGCCCCCGGCCCACAGGCGCTGCTGCCCTGCACTCCAAATGCTATTCCCTGTGGGCTTTGCGGCTGAGGCATGGGCACTCTTTGTCCTTTCTGGACCCCTGGTAAGGAGGTTGGGTTGGGAAGCAAGCAAGGTTTAGGGCACAGGTAGGCGGCTGCTGCCCAGGTAGGACATGGGTGTGCCAGGGTCTGCTCATACCCTTCCCCAGAAACTGCCAATGCTGGCATCTGACCCACACCAGGTACCTCACCCTGACCTGGTGACAGCAGGATGGCCTCTTGAGGCCTGGGTGGCAGGGGGCCAGATGTGCTCAGCACAGGCAGCCCCATTCAGAAGGGGCTGGAAACCCATGCAAAGGCTCAGACAAACATCTCAAGAGGGCAAATAGGGCCCACTCATTTCTGGAACCTGTGGAGCTCTCTGATGGGGGAGAAGGAACTTCCTGCCCATCCTATTTCCAAATGAAAATAGTCTTATATGTATATTTCTGATCATAAGGGTAATAAATATGCACTTCCTGTAAAAATTTCAGGAGCTCTCGTGGCATAGTGCTTAAGGCATTTGACTGCTAACCAGAAGGCTGGTAGTTCAAACCTATCAGCCACTTCTTGCAAGGAAGATTGGGCAATCTACTTTCATAGAGATACCATCTCAGAAACCCAACAAGGGGTCACTCACTATGAATCGGATTCAACTTGACAGCAGTGAGTTTGGTGTTTGGTATGAGAATTTCAGGCAATATCCAAAGTTAGAAAGAAGAAATCTATCTCTAATCTAACCATCTGGAAAGAACCATTATTAAGATTTTGGTATATTTTATTTCACTCTTTATTAATATGAGCTGATTAAATTCTCCCACTTTGTTATAATCACAACAGCAATAGCAGTATGGGACATTTGTGTCATGCTTGCTGTGTGCTGGTCACTGTGCAAAGTGTTTCCCATGAATTACCACAGTTTTATGGGAGGAAACAGAAGTCCAGGGATAAAGGAACAACCTAAGATCACACTGCTATTTGTGGTGAGATGGGAGCAAGACTTCTGGCTTTCAGCTCTGGCTCCTTGCAAACCTGGACTGTATAGTTCACACCCCAGGTCCAGCTCTGTTAAGGGACATTTGCCCAGTGGATGGTAGTGTTTGTGGAGGGTTCCTGGAATGAAGACCCACAGGAGAGACTTCTCTGCACAGGGCAAGGGTGCTTTGAGGAAGGGGCTGTACTGTGAGAGGTGAGGGTTTCTGGGGCTTTTCTGGGCCAAAAAGCAGGGCCGAGCAGTATGAAGTGCCAGGGTCTCCCTCGGGTAGCAGGAATCCACAGGCAGGACCCTACTGGCCTGTCTGACCCTGATGCTGCCCCCAGTTCCTGTTCCAGGTGCTGACATTCCTGATCTACATGGTGAGCACGGTGTTCTGCGGGCACCTGGGCAAGGTGGAGCTGTCGTCTGTGACCCTTGCAGTGGCTGTGAGTACTTGCCAGCCCCAAGGAGGGCCTGCTGTTGGGCAATGGAGTGGGTCAGGCAGGGTGACTCAGGCCATCTGGTCTGACCCCTGCATTCTACAGATGGGGTCCAAAGGCCAGAGGTGGAGAGAGTTTTGTCCAGGGCACATTAGGACACAGCCAGGGCCAGAAGGAGGGTCCTGGCTCAGCTGCATTCACAGCTGCCTCAGCCCCTTTCCCCTCCTGGGATAACCTACCCTGAGGTACAATTGACCTGATGTCCTAGACACAGGATCTTCCCTTAAGTTCACACCTGACAAGCTCTTGTGTTTTCTTCTGTGAGCGCTCTAGTTTATCAATGTCTGCGGTGTTTCCGTGGGAGCTGGCTTGGCCTCGGCATGTGACACCTTGATGTCCCAGGTAGGGGAGCCTCCTGGAGATGGGCAGATGGCTGGGTAAGGCAAGAGCAGTCCTGACAGGTGCTGCAGGAACAGCAGGAGGAGGGTCTGCTGAAGGCCTCTCTATCCCCTCCAGGATCTTGAGCCTTAATCCTGCAGATAGGCCCTGGGGTCAGCAGTTCCATCTCCAGGGACTATATGCCATCAGGGACAGAGACTGAGTTTTGGCTTCACCCTCTTGGAGAACAACAGGCTGGTGAGAGAAGCTGTGGAGGAGAGGCATAGAAACAGGGCAGTTCCCTGGCCTGTTGCACCAGTAGAGGTCACCAAAGAGAAAAAAGATTGGAAACCTAACATGGATCACTCACTTCCTCACCCTGCCTTGCATCCCCCATCCCCCACCCCTCACTCCATTGTCATTGTTGTTATTTGCCCTCGAGTTGTACCCGACTCATAGCAACCCCTCCTTGGGTTTCCGAGGCAGTATCACTACGGAAGTAGATTGCCCAACCTTCCTTCCAAGGAGTGGCTGGTGGGTTTGTACCGCCAGCCTTCTGGTTAGCAATCAGTTGCCTTAGGTACTATGCTACCAGAGCTCCTCTCACTCCATTAAGCTGCCTACATTCGGTACTGTGTCAGACACTGATGACACAGGATGGGACCTTCCTGCCTATGTTCAAGCAGGGGTGTGCCCAACCTGCTGTGGGCCACAAAGCAGGCAAGACTAAGCTCTCTAGAGGCTCTGGGCCCCTAGTGCAGGGACCTGGCTCCTGTCCTGGCTTTATCAGTTATTCTCGGAGCTTTGCTGACCTTAGCTGTAAAGTAGAATGAATAATATTGTCCTCATTAGTCAATTCTGTCGAACAGTGGAGACAACAGGTGGACAATGGAATGGCACAGAGCTATTGTCATTGTTAGCTGCCCAACTCAAGGTGACTCCATGCACAATGAAATGAAATGTTGTGGGTCCTGTACCAGCCCTCTGATCAGCTGTGGATCAGATTGTTGTGATCCACAGGGCTTTCAGAAGTAGATAGCCATGCCTTTATCCTGGGCCATCTTAGTCTGCAAGCTCCGCTGAAACCAGCTCAGCATCATAGTAACATGCAAGCCTCTAGTGACAGATGGGTAGTGGCTGTGCATGTGGTGCATTGGCCTGAATACAACCTGAGTCACCTGCATTGAAGGTATAAATAACCTCTGTTATAATTCTAAGGAGCTCTGCTGGCACAGTGCCTAAGGTATTTGACTGCTAACCAGAAGGTTGGCAGTTCAAATCCACCAGCTGCTCCATAGAAGGATGATGGGGCAATCTACTTCCCTAAAGATTTGCCATTTCAGAAACCCAATGGGGGTCACTATGAGTTGGACTCAACTTGATAGCAGTGAGTTTGCTTTGGTTTTGAGTTATACTTCTATGGGCAGGCAAGCCCCTGGGCTTAGGGAAAAAGGAGACCCGGGTGGCATAAAAGGTTAAGCATTTGACTACTAGTGGAAAGGTTGGTGGTTGGAACCCACCCAGAGATGCCTTGGAAGATGGAATTCTCCATCCACTTTTGAAAACCCTATACCAAACCACTGCCATCCATTTAATTCAGACTCTTAGCCACTTCATTGGGTATCCAAGGCTGTAAATCTTTACAGAAGCAGACTGCTTTAACTTTCTTCCATGGAGTGGTTGGTGAGTTCAAACTACTGACTTCTGGTTAGCAGCCAAATGCCTTAAGCACTGCACTATCAGAGGTCCTTGAAAACCCTATGGAGTAGTTATAATCAACATACATGGGGACCCCATGAGTCCAGTTGACTAGATGGCAAGTAACAACAACATGGTGCCCTGGGCTGTCACACACACTGGAAACACTCCTCCAGGCCTGTGGCAGAGCCAGGATTTTTGCTGAACATCCCCAGCAACGGAGCACTAGGGGTGGGTATGGGGGAGCGAGCAGCACTGGCCTGGCCTGACTCCTCCAGGTTTTGCAGAGCTTTGGCAGCCACAACAAGAAGCACGTGGGCATCATCCTGCAGAGGGGCATGCTCACCTTGCTGCTATCCTGCTTTCCCTGCTGGGCACTCTTCCTCAACACCGAACAGCTCTTGCTGCTCCTTGGGCAGGACCCAGCTGTGTCCAGGTATGCTTGCTCCACTTGCTCCTGCTGGAAGCCTGGGATTCCAGGAGGTCCAGGAATACCTGAGGCAGGAAACCCAGAGGAAGCCCATTTCCCAGGCCCTTGCTTCTCTCAGCCACAAGTGGTCCCAAATGCGACATCTTGAGGGACACTATGGCATGCTGTTCCAGTTGTGACCAGCAGGGGGCAGAAAAGTACAAAAGTGAGAAATAACCTTGTGATTTGCAGTTCTGTCCTTGAACATAGTAAAAAAAAAAATAAACAAAAATATCAAACCAAACTCGCTGCCATGGAGTTGCTTCTGACTGATAGTGACTCCTCCTTGAGTTTCTGAGGCAGTATTTCTACAGAAGTAGATTGTCCAATCTTCCTTCTGAGGAGTGGCTGGTGGGTTTGAACTGCCAGTCTTCTGGTTAGCAGCCAAATGCCTTAGGCACTACATCACCAGGGCTCCTTTGAACATAGTTGTTGTTGTTGTTAAGTGCCGTCGAGTCGTTTCCGACTCATAGCGACCCCATGCTGCTGTGCACAGCGTTCTGCTGTGAACGAAACACTGCCCGATCCCACGCCAGCCCCACAATCCCTGCTGTACTTGAGCTCATCATTGCAGCCACCGTGTCAATCCATCTCGTTGAAGGCCTCCCTCTCTTTCGTCGACCCTCCACCCTACCAAGCATGACATCCTTCCCCAGGGAATGGTCCCTTCTTACAACATGACCAAAATAGGTGAGATGAAGTCTGGCCATTCTTGCTTCCAAGGAGCATTCTGGCTGCACTTCCTCCAGGACAGATCTGTTAGTTGAACATAGTAGGAGCTTCCTAAATGCTTTTGAAGAAATGAAGTGTGTACTACCTCGTATCCCAAAAAGGAAAAAGAGGACTAAGACAATTTCTGATAATTTACACATAGACTATTATTAAATATAGAAGCACCCTCTCTTGGGATACCTTGTTTATTTTATATTATGCTTCTCTAGGTGCACTGGTAGCATAGTGCCTAAGGCACTTGACTGCTCACCAGAAGGCTGGTGGTTCAAACCCACCAGTCACTCCTCGGAAGGAAGGTTGGGCAATCCTACTTCCGTAGTGATACTGCCTCAGAAACCCAAGGAGGGGTCGCTATGAGGCGTCAGGGCCAACTCAATGGCAAACAACAACAGAGGTGCACTGGGCTTCAGCTCCTTGCACCTTCTAGCATCTAGTAGCAGCTGCCCTTGACTGCTGGCATTTCATATGCTTTGGCCGAGTTCTGCAGGGCCTGATAAATCCTCTTCTCAAACCCTGATGCCCATGATGTCCCTGGGGCAGAAGCCTAGCCACTATTCACAGAGGTTAAAGCTGAGAAGGTTCTGCCTTCCCTGGGCTGCCTCTGGTCATCTTCATGCTTCTCCTTCTCTTGCAGATTAACCCAGGACTATGTGATGATTTTCATCCCAGCACTTCCTGTAAGTGCCCCTATCTCTGGGCTTTTTATTCTGCTGAGCAAAGAGGAGGCTGGAATTATTCTTATCTAAATTCTGGCTTTCTGCCTTTCCATTGTACCTGCTCAGGAGGCACATCTCAGTCAACAATGATCCCTGCAAAGCCACAAGAAAGGCTGAAATGGTAGGAGAACAGGAGTTAGAATTCCAATAGTTGCAAATAGTTGCAAATTAGAAAACTATTTATCGGAGAAAATTTGGAAAGTGCGGGGATAAAAAATTTCAAATTACCTACCAATCCTACCAAAGTCCCTGGATGGTGCAAATAGTTTGTTCTTGGCTGATTACCAAAAGGTTGTTTTTGAACATACCTAGCAGCTTTGTGGGAGAAAGACTTAGCTGCTTCTGTAAAGATTACAGCCAAGAAAATCTATAGAACAATTCAACTCTGTAACACGTGGGTTGCTATTTATTTATTTAATAATCTTACTACTTAGAGAGAACACATAAGTAATGTGTCTTTCCAGGATTACTTCTACCAATGGGTGTGTATGTTCAAACACACACATATATACAAATAGTTTGAAATAGGGTCAGTGTATATATATGTATATATATAGTATTCTAACCTGCTTATTCCAACATAAAATATGTCAGTAGTCTCCTGGTGTAATTAAATAGCCTCCTACAATATCAGTTTAAAAAGCTACATAGTATTGCATCATATGTTGTTGTTAGACCAGGTGGCAACTAACAACAGTGCCTATAGTTATGCCATTCAGCCAGTCCTGTTTTCAATGTCACTATTATAAACAAACTTGTGATAAACATTGTTGAAAAATCTTTGTGGATGTGCATAATGATTTCCTTAAGATGCATTACTGGAATTGAGTTCTTTGGTCAATGGCTTTTGATACATATTGCCCAACTGTACCAATTTCTACTCCCATTAGGGGTACATGAGAGCTCTACTTTCCCAACATCAACACAGGGTATTTTAGATTTAAAAAAAAAAAAAAAAAATTAGAAATTGCCCAAAGGGCATGAAGGTGGAAGGAGCACACAGAGTCACTGTACCAAAAAGAATTGGTCAATGTTCATCCATTTCAGGAGGTGGCATATGATCAAGAACCGATTTTATTGAAGGAAGAAGTCTAAGCTGCACTGAGATAATTGGTGAAGAACAAGTCTCCAGGAGTTGATGGCATACACACTGAGATGTTTCAACAAATGGATGCCACACTGGAGGCACTCATTTGGGTATTCCAAGAAATTTGGAAGACAGCTACCTGGCCAACTGACTGGAAGAGATCCGTATTTGTATTCATTCCAAAGAAAGGTGATCCCACAGAATGTGGAAATTACTGAACAACATCATTAATATCACACATAAGTAAAATATTACTGAAGATAATTCAAAAATGATTACAGCAATATATTGACAGGGAACTGCTAGAAATGCAAGCTGGATTCAGGGAACAAGGGATATCACTGCTGATGTCAGATGGCTCTTGGTTGAAAGCAAAGAATGCCAGAAAGATGTTTATTTGTGTTATATTGACTATGCAAAAACATTCGACTGTGTGGATCATAACAAATTATGGATAACATTGAAAAGAATGGGAATTCCAGATCACTTGATGGTTTTCATGAGGAATCCATACATAGACCAGGAGTCTATCATTCGAACAGAACAAGGGGATACTGCATGGTTTAAAATTTGGAAGGGAGTGTACCCTTTCACCATACTTATTCAATCTGTATGCTGAGCAAATAATCCAAGAAGCTGGACTATATGAAGAAGAGTGTGGTATCAGGATTGGAGGAAGATTCATTAACAACCTGCCACACTCAAGTGACACAACTTTGCTTGCTGAAAGTGAGGATGACTTGAAGTACTTACTGATGAAGACTAAAGACTACTGTCTGCAGTATGGATTACATCTTAACATACAAAAAACAAAAATCCTCACAATTGGATCAATAAGCAACATCATGATAAGTGGAGAAGAGATTGAAGCTGTGAAAGATTTCTTATTACTTGGTTCCACAATTAACACCAATGGAAGCAGTAAAGACTTCAGACAACATATTGTACCAGGCAAATCTTCTGCAAAAGACCTCTTTCAAGTGCTGAAGACAAAGATGTCTCCTCAAAGACTAAGGTGCACCTACCCCAAGCCATGGTATTTTTAATCACTTCATATGCATGTGAGAGCTGGACAATGAAAAGGAAGACTGAAGAAGAATTGATGTTTTTGAGTTTTGGTGTTGGTGAAGAATACTGAACGTACCATGGACTGCCAAAAGAACTAACAAATCTGCCCTCAAAGAAGTGCAGCCAGAATGCTCCTTGGAAGCAAGAGAGAGAATGGCCAGACTTTGTCTGACCTACTTTGGTCATGTTGTCAGAAGGGACCATTCTCTGGATAAGGATATCATACTTGATAAAATGGAGGGTCAGTAGAAAAGGAGAAGGCCCTCAATAAGATGGATTGACACAGTGGCTTCAATGATGGGCCAAGTACAGCAAGGATTGTAAGGCTGGCACAGGACTGGGCAGTGTTTCATTCTGCTGTCCATAGGATCACTATGAGTCAGAGCTGACCCGACGCACCTAACAACAACAACAGCAAAAGAGGTTACAGTTCAGGATTAGGAACACTAAGGCTACACTTCTTCAATCAGGACAACCTCCCTTCAGCCATACCCCAAGGCATGCCTGTCTTTGGCCTGGCTTCTGCTCTGCTCAGGCAAGTGTTGTTGGACCAGGTGGCAACTAACAACAGTGCCAAATAGTCGTGCCATAATTATTCAGCCAGTCAGAGCTCTTTTTGCTCTGCTCATAGTTGTACCCCACTCTTCTAGCAAGCCTCCTGCCCAAAGACACTCAGCTTTCTCATTCTGTGAGCTGAGAAGCCCACAACTCTATCTCATGCCATTCTCTCAGCTCTGCTGTCACTGCTGCCACCATCTCTCTGCCATCTCTTTGTGCAAGGATGCACTCCACTCTTGCTTCTTCTCTCTCTTGAGTGCAGTGCAACCACCCCTTCTGGCTCTGGGATGGCTCATTTTAACAGCAAAACTGACCAGTCTCCACATTAGAGTCCTATACACCTTATTTCCATGTTCCCACCCCCACAAGGGTGCCATGTACGTTATTTACATTACTTCCAAGGTATCCATTCCCCTTGGTGGACCACAAACACCTTACATTTGTGTAGTTCCCCCAGTTATCTGGTGGGAGTCACATGGACGATGGCTAGAAAAGTCATACTAAGTAATTCACTGCACCACAGACCAACCCTTGGCTCTTCGAGCCATTTGCCCTCTCATAGTTGAATGATTAACTTCCCCTCCCAATCATTTTAAGTATAAGCATACCATAGAAGCGTGTAAGCCAGTGACTTCATGCCTCTATCTCCCATTTTAGATAACCAATTTATAAATTGCCCATTTCCCTCAAACCAGTACTCTGAAGAGATACGCATGTTACTTTACCTCAAGAGTCTTCTGTTCCAGTAGGAACTCTGAGCAGCTGCACCCACAAGCAAAGTCAAGTCCAGAGCAAGCAATCAAATTGCAGTAACTTACACCAGTTTAGTGTCAAACATCTTTCTCTTCATTCAGTTGAGTTGTGGTCAGTTCAGCCCTAGCCATCCAAGCTAGATCCAGCTGCAAGCTTGGGAATTCACACACCTCCCTGCATTTCAGAACAGCCAGCCCCTTCTTTCTTTCTCATCCCTAGTTCCCCTGGGCTAAGTCAAAACCCATAAATTCAGGTGTCCACACAACTCCCTGCACTTCAGACTGGCCAACCTTTCCTCTTTCATCCCTAGCTTCTATAGGTTAGGTCAACAGGTGCCAAACTCAGCCCATTTCTTCATTGCTGCCACTCCCCAACGTCCACTCATCAAGTGGATCCAGGTGGTCACCAGAAGCAAGCATGCTGGCTGTTTATTCACCAGCTCCCTTTAACTTCCAGTCCTGGAAGGGGTTCCTCTCATGGACCTTAACTTTCCCACCTCGATGCACCCAAAGACAAACCTCAAAATTAAAAAAACAAAATCGTCACATTTTTCTCTCTGCAGGTCTTCCTTCAAATGCAAATCTGTTCTCTCAGCAGTCCTGGGTGGGTGTGCATGTCTTTTCAAAAACAGATTTTTTTGACTCTGAAGATACTGGATGGGGGTAAATTTTCTACCTAAGCCTCCAATACTCTCTACACAGGGTTACTGAGTTCAAACCAATAGCATTTGTTTCATCTGGGCAAATTCTAGTTTCCCTTTTAGCATATCCAATCAAGTATTGGCAAAATGCAGATTTATGCCCTCTCTGTTATCATAGTCAATATTCATTTCTATCACGCAAGGGAAACATTCAACACAAAAGAACCATTCAACATTCATAGTACATTCAGATAAACATATAACCCTTTTTAAAACATTCCAGTTTCATCTGCTCCACACCTTGAACCTGCACATTCTATGCATGTGATCTTGGACCTCTGCCTGGGTGGAACCAGAAAATCTTGGCCCATTATCAATCATCTCCTTTAATTAGCCTGCTATTGCCCAGGCTTTTCTTCCTTCAGCTGCTGCATAACATCTCTTACTTTCCTTTCAGCCATTACAGGTAACAACAACCAATGTAACCATCTAAGGATCAAAAGTTTCACTTCCCAGCCCCCTCCTTCTTTCTCTTATAAAGTCTCATACTTTCATAAGTCTGGAGCCATTGCAGCAAGTCCTGCTTCTGACATCAACTGCAAAAAGGGTATGGGGGTGGCATCCTCTGACTGCCTCTAATTTTGCAAAGGGAAGGCAGAATCACCATCAGCAGCATGAGCCCAAGTCTGATTCCTATAACATGAGACTCAGGCACGCCACCACCATCCAAGCTTTTTGCCAATTCTGATATCAACTGTTCCTCTCACAGCACTCTCTACTTTTCTATTAGGTTTGATAATTCATTGCATTAGCCACATAGAACTCACAGACAATACTCACAGTTATAGGGTTTATTAGGGAGGTAACAGGTTACAATCCAGGATCAGGAACACTCAGGATACAGTGCTTCTGTCAGGATAGCCTCCCCTTAGCTGTGCCCAAAGACATGCCTCTCTTTGCCCCTTGGCCTCTGTGGTAGTTAAATTTGTATGTCAACTTGGCTGGACCTGGTTGAGTGGCTGGGCAGCTGGTGGTAGTTATTCCCCATGATGAGACTGGCAATCAACTCCATGGTGGGATCTACCTTTGGGATGTGGTCTGCTTCCTGTATATAAGGAGAAGGCTTGGGGATAGTGTCTAGCTTACAGCACACGTGGACTCTGCATGTAGCTGTGTCATTGTTTAGCAGCCTGCCATGCTCTGCCAACCTTGGGACTTACAATGGACTTGAATTAATGCCCTGCCATATGCTTTGGTAACATCAGGACTGTGCCATTTTATTTGTTGACCTTGGGCTTGTTAGCCTCAGCAGCCAATAGCTGCCTTAGTGAAGAGATGTCTCTAGTGAAGAGATACCGGGAACAAGAGGCAGAGCTGAAGCCCAAGGTCGAGGGGCTTTCACACTGCCCCTAGAGCCTGGCACTTGGAACTCGGACTTCTAGCCTCCCAAACTGTAAGGGAATAAACTTCTGTTTGTTGAAGCCATCCCATTTCTGGTATATTCCTGTCAGAGCAGCACTCAGTAACCAGAACAGCCTCTCAGCCTGGCCTCTGCCCTGCTCAAGCAAATGTTACAAAGCTCTTTTAGCTCTGCTGAGTGGTGCACCTCACTCTGCCAGCAAGCCTTCTGCCCGGAGGCACTCAGCTTTCTCGCTCAGTGGGCAGGGAAGCCCCACTGCTCTGTCTCATGTCATTCTCTCGGTTCTGCTGTTGCTCTTGCCACCATCTCTCTGTCGTCTCTCTGTGCAGGGATCTTGGGTCCAAGGACATGCTCTACTCTTGCTTCTCCTCTTTCTTAATGGTAGAGCAATCCCCCCTTCAGATTCTGGCACAGCTCATTTTAAGCCTAGTGTAATGGCAAAACTGACCAATCTCCATACATACTGTAGAGTTCCATACATCTTATTTCCATGATCCCATCCCCACAAGGGTGCCATGTACCTTGTTTTCATTACTAACAAGCTATCCAGTACCCTTGGTGGACCACAAGCACCTCACATTTGCATAGTTCCACCAATCTTTTGGTGGGAGTCACAAAGATCATGGCTGGAAGAACCATACTAAGTAATTCACTGCATAACCAAAATAAATTATTTTACAATACATTTCTTTTATTGCTAATGAAGTTGAGCACTTTCCATATATTTTTTGGTTTGTTTTTCTTTTGTGAATGTCCATTTCCTTTGCTTATTCAATCTTTTTCTAACTATTATAATTCTTATTATAATACTTGTTCTTAATGCTTTGGAGGAAGACTCAATAACAACCTGTGTTATGCAGATGACACAACTTTGCTCACTGAAAGTGAGGATGACTGGAAACATTTACTGATGAACATTGAAGACTACAGTCTACAGTATGGATTATACCTCAATATAAAGAAAACAAAAATCCCCACAGAGGGACCAATAAGCAGATCATGATAAAGGGAGAAAAGATTGAAGTTGTCAGAGACTTCACATTGTTTGATTCTATAATCACCACCAATGGAAGCAGCAGTCAAGATATCAGATGTTGTATAGCATTGGGCAAATCTGCTGCAAAGGATCTCTTTCAAGTACTGAAGAGCAAAGATATTTCCTTGAAGACTAAGGTGTGCTTGACACAGGCCATGGGACTTGATGGCACATAACAACAACAACAACAACAACAACAACAAAGGAGCTCTGGTGGCATAGTACCTAAGGCATTTGACTGCTTACAGAAGGCTGGTGGTTCAAACCCACCAGCCACTCCTCAGAAGGAGGGTTGGGCAACCTACTTCCGTAGTGATACTGCTTCATAAACCCAAGGAGGGGTCTCTATGAGTCAAATCTGACTCAAGGGCAGTGAGTTTGGTTTTGATTTTGTTTAATATGCACATGAGAGCTGGACAATGAAAAAGGGAGAATGAAGAAGAGTCAATGCTTTTAAGTTGTGGTGTTGGCAAAGAATGCTGAAAGTACCATGGACTGATAAAAGAACTAACAAACCTGGAAAAGGTGTAGCCAGAATGCTCCTTGGAAGAGAGAATGGCTAGACTTCATCTCACCTACTTTGGTCATGTTGTAAGAAGGGTCCATTCCCTGGAGAAGGATATCATTCTTGGTAAGGTGGAGGGACAATGAAAAAGGGGAAGGCCCTCAATGAGATGGATTGACACAGTAGCTGCCACTATGGGCTCAGGTGTAGCAAAGATCATGGGGTTGGCACAGGGCCAGGCAGTGTTTTGTTCTGCTGTACATGAGGTCGCTATGATTTGGAGACGACTTGATGGCACGTAACAACAACGCTTTGTCATATATGCTACAAATATTTTTTAGTTTGTCATTTGCCTTTTAATATTTTTATATTTTTGACTTAAAAAATTTTATTGTGTATGCCATCAGATCCATAAGTCCTTTCTTTTTATGATGTCTGTCTTTGATGAGCTTAAAAAGAATTATCCTATTGCAAGACGACATAGATATTTGCCTGTATTTTCTTTGAACTCTTTTATGGTTTCTATTTTTACATCTGATACATTTAAATTTAGAAAAGTACCAGTGATTAACTATTCTCTTCCTTCTCCATTAATTTATTAAATGCTGAATTACAGCCTTGGAAACCCAGTGGGGGGGGTCACTATAAGTCAGAATTGACTCGATGGCAGTGGGTTTGGTTTCAGTTTTATATTTGGGTCAGTTTTTGGGCTTTCTAGTCTGACCCAGTATGACTCTTCTGGAACCTAATACTACAATATTTGATTTGTTATAGAGTAATGATACATGTTAATATCTGGCAATGTTGATCACAAATGGCCAAATTCACATTCCTATCTCTGTAAATGAAGCTCTGGTGGCATACTGCCTAAGGTATTTGACTGCTAACCAGAAGACTGGCAGTTCAAACCCACCAGCCACTCCTCAGAATGAAGGTTGGGCAATCAACTTCCATAGTGATACTGCCTTGGAAACCCAAGAAGGGGTCACTATGAGTAGGATCTGACTCGATAGCAGTACATTGCCTTGTGTTATCTCTGTAAAAGCAGTAGCCCTTTAGTCTTCCTGGCACCAGGGCCAATGTTCTTGAGAAGGGAACTAAGAAGAGAATGGGTCAGGGTGAACATAACATACCCCTAAACATGCTTAGGCCTGGGCTGGATATACCTCAGACACACCTACCTGTCTGAAAAATCAAGGCCCTGACTTCTTTGGGGCCCAGCCAGCTACACATTTCTTTCATATCTTATGGAAACTACTTCAAAGGGCTGTTTTCCCTATAAGCCATGCTTTGGCTCTGTAGACCAAATTCAAGGTATCTTATCAAACAGGGTCATTGGTGCTGGATTGGGGAAAACTCCTATAAAGATGACATTATGATCCCCAAGACTATAGCCCTTAGACACCTTTCAAGCCTGGAACTGAAGTCACCCCTGTGGTTCAACTTTCAGCCAAACAATAGATAGGCCTATAAGGTGAATAATAATACTAGGGAGGAAGGCACTCTTCACAATAATCGACCATATCAGATCAAAGGACAGCATTTACCCAAGAACAAAGCTCAGGAGGCAAGAAGGGATAGGAAAGAAGGACAAATGGAAATGGTAAATACAGGGAGGAAGTGGAAAGAGTGCTGTTGCATTGTGGGGATTTTAATCAGTGTCACAAAACAAAATGTGTATGAAATGTTGAATGGAAAACCAGTTTGCTCTGTAAACTTTCAACCAAATCACAATAAAAAGTTATTTAAAAAAAAAAAGATATCATTATGGCTTCTCCTTTATCAAATAAAGCAAGGTCCTTCCATAAAATGACACTGCAAAATTTAACTGCCAGTAATAATAACAACAATGACCTGGAATGCTTAAATGAGCCAGATTCTGTTTGGTAAGCACATTATGACATTAACTTTGGAAGTGTGTGTATATGTGTGTATTAACACACACAAACCAGTTACCAGTGGCTGTGGAGTCATGATGATCCCACATATGTCAGAGCAGAACTGTGTTCCGTAGAGTTTTCAATGGCTGATTTTTTGGAAGCAAATCTCCAGGTCCTTCTTCCTGGTCACTTCTAATATGTCATCCTGTGTCCTGACCAGCAAGAAGCAGCCTGTCTTCAGCACAGCCTGAACAACCATGTTCTCTGAACAACCATGGTCTTCTCCCCTGCCTCATCACCCTCCTGAATAGAGCGCTGGCTTCCTGCAGGCCCTGGGAGAAGCTCTGCTTTGCAGGCCAAAGTGGCCCCTTTGACTGTTGCCCAAACTTGTTCTATTTGAGCCCCATACTCTGCCAGCTATCTCCCATTGGAGCAGAGGGGGAGCCCTGAAGGATCTTCCTGGATGAGCAGGCCCAGTGCCTGATTTTGGCTTTACCCTGGGGCCATGAACTTGGGTATCTATGTCCTAGAAAGAAATGTCTCTTAATGTTCATCTGGAGTTTGTTGTTGTTTGTTGATTTTTTTTTTTTTTTTTTTTAATACAGGCAATCTTTCTCTATAGCCTTCTGGCAAAATACTTGCAAAATCAGGTACAGGTCCCTGGCTGGGGGTGGAGGCGGGGAACTCCCTTCTGCCATAGCAGGCTGCCAATTGATACCCACTTAATTCTAACTCAGTGGGACAGGATGGACACCTGTGTTCTTTCCCTCTCTTTCCATCATCTGTGAACCAGGATGTCAGAGGAGGAAGCCCTGGATCATTTCTAAACTGCTGTCTCACAACCTGACCAACAAGAATCAGCATGCTCCCAGCCTGCTACAAAGCTGACATGTCTGGGCTTGTTCATACTCCCTCAGTTCTACTCACGCCTTAGTAAAAAAGCCCTTGCATTTAAGGAACTGAGGTTACTTGTGGCCTTAGGCCAGTGGCCAATCTTCATTTATTTCAGGGGATCATCTGGCCTGAAGTCTTCAGTGGCATTGTGGGGAACTGTGTCAACGGCTTAGCCAACTATGCCCTGGTTTTTGTGCTGAACTTAGGGGTCAGGTGAGCAGCTCCTGCCATGAGCATGGGGGGCGGTGTTACTGGGCTAAAGGGTGTGGTTAGGGAGCATCACCCACTGAGCCTCCCCTTACAGGCAGAAGGAAGTCAGTACCATCACCTCACAAGACAAGGACTTGAGGGGGGTTGCTATGCTGTCCTGAAGTGGAGAGACCATAAGAAGGGAGCCTGTTGGTCATCAGGTGTCCTTCAGCATTTCTGCTGTGGGCTTAGTCCAGTGGGAGGAGGACCATTCCCCATCAAGGAGAAAGGGGAGGGCCTACTCCACCTTCCTCCAGACCCAGACCACCAGGAGATGCTGACAAGTGGAGTCCTGACAGAGTAGATCCCAGAACATGGTACTAATTGCTGTCTGTGTGGCACTCAGAGATCCCTCTGGTTACTGGGCAGGGTTGACTCCAGGGACAGGGGTGCTGGCTAGGCCATGGCTGTGCCCCTTTTCTGCCCCATGCTGGCTGTCAACAGGGAAGCCACTTACACCCACAGAAAAAGTAGTGAGGGTCCTAGGAGAGAACAAGGGACCATTTCAGCATCAGCCACAGCTGTATTCCCTCCCTTCTAGGGGCTCTGCTTATGCCAACACCATCTCCCAGTTCATGCAAACCATCTTCCTCTTCCTCTACATTGTGCTCAAGAAGCTGCACTTGGAGACGTGGGCAGGTACATATGAAGGGCACCCTTGAGCAGCACTAGAATAAGGAGTGGGCATCACCAGGTGGAGGACTCAGGCCTTGTCTCTGCCTTGCTTTCATTTCCCTTTAGAGCTCCCTCCTTCTCCTTTGTTCCATCCCCCACACACACCCCAGTACCCACACTCCTGAAGGTCCACCCCATGCAATGCCCCAGTGCTGTAGAGCCCTGCTGGGGACAGGGTGCTACTGGATTCACCAGAGAAGCCTGGCCCAGTGAGCTTCCTACGGTGTCGATTACAGTAATAACACAGGCAGAAATCTTAGGTGTGCCTGGCATTCCTTGCCTTGTTTAAATCTCTCCATCTTCTAGGGAGGAAACTGAGAGACAGAGAGAGAGAGAGAGAGAGAGAAACAGAGAGGTTAAATAATTTGTCTAACATGTCAGAGGTCCTAAGTGGTGGGCTGTGGACTTGAATCTGTGCCTGTAGGATCCCAGGTCTTAGAATCTAAGCACTGCACTTGTTTGCCTTCTGAAAGCTGATTGTCAAATGTGGGTTCCTCCAAAACCTAGGGCTTGGCTAGGGCGGGGGTGGGGGAGGCAGGGAGCAGGGAGTCCTGCAGGCTTACACCACTCTTCTAGCCTGCACAGCCTAGCTGCTATAAGAGTTCCTTAATCATTCTTGACCTCAGATTTTCCTGCAATAACCCTTCAGGGAGGCAGGATGAAGACTAGGACTCAAGGTTTTCAGATGAGAGGATCGAGTATTACCTGAGACCCCATGGTGTTAAGGGGAAGGATGGAGACCAGCCCTCATGTCTCATCCTGGTCCTGAGCCACTCCATCATCTGACTCTGCTTCTGGCCAGGATGTCACTGTCCTATGCCTGCATGCTTCTTCTACCTCCCCAATATCGCTCCAGGACCAGCTATCCTCTATTCCCCGTGTGCAAAATGACAAGAGCTTGGGGCTGCACTCCTGGTGGTGGGGCATGCCTGATCTGTGGGTGGCTGCTGCTCAGCTCTCAAACTTCTGATCCTAGGCTGGTCCAGCCAGTGCCTGCAGGACTGGGGCTCCTTCTTCTCTCTGGCAATCCCCAGCATGCTCATGATGTGCATCGAGTGGTGGGCCTATGAAATTGGGAGCCTCCTCATGGGTATGTAGAAGAGGACAGGATGGGGCACCAAGTATGGACAGCTTACCCAGCCCAGAAGCACCCTGCCCTAGATGGGGAGTTCACCAGCCCCCTTCTGAGTCCATAGGCAATTCCCAGCACAGTCTGGCTGGTAGTGTTGTCTATCTGTTGCTCACCTGTCTCTCCCATCTGCGCTGGGAGCTCCCCAAAGGTAGGCCCGTGCCTTTTGTGCCTTCCATCTTCTAACTCTGAGTCCCCAGCATTGCCCAGCACCAGGCCTGGCATCCCGTGGGTCTCTATGAGAGCTGACTGAGTCAGTGAAGGAGTGAGGGTGGGAGGGTGAACAGCAGCAAGGGCTTGGAAAGTGCAGGGCTCACCTGGCACTTCTCATGCGTTTATCATGGAGCTCAGCACAGAGTTGAAACATGCTGAAAATTAGAAAGCCTGGCCTGGAACAACCTCTAGAGACCTACTAGTTCCGTCCCTGTCCCATTTACAGATGAGAAAATAGGACACCAAGAATAAGGTAAATAGTCTAAAAACACTGCCATCAAGTCGATTCTGATTCATAGTGACTGTACAGGACAGAGAAGAACAGCCCCACAGGGTTTTCAAGCTGTAAATCTTTACAGAAGTAGATTGCCTCTTTTCTCCTGCGGAGCAGCTGGTGGGTTCAAACTGCTGACCATTCAGTTAGCAGCCAAATGCTTTAAGCACTATGCCATCAAACCAAAAAAGCCAAACACACTATCATCTAGTCAATTTTGATTCATAGTGACCCCACTGAGTTTCCAAGGCTGTAAATCTTTAAGGAAGTAGATTGCCTCATCTTCCTCCTGCAGAGCAGCTGGTGGACTTGAACTGCTGACCTTCTGGTTAGCAGCCAAATGCCTTATCCACTATACCACCAGAGCTAATTACTATGCCACCAGAGCTCCAGTCACCCAGAGAATTGATGGTGTGACTCAGGCCCAAACTCAGGATTCCTGACCTTAGCCCATGTGTCATTTAAAGACAGACCCTCCCTTATCACCTCTGTTCCTGTGAGGAGCATCCTGCAGGACTTTCTATGAGAACAACTAGGAAAGTTTTCCTAGAAGGTGGAAGGCCAAGTAGGAAAATTTTGGCTGCAAATCTGTTCTTCAGAATCATTTGCTCTTTTGTCTCCAGAGCAGAGAAGCATGGTGTCAGCCCAGAGTCTGGGATCCTCCTCACTGACTAGGTGGCAGTTGACAACCTGAGTGATGGATTCCTTACCACTCACCACTGTGCCTCCTCTGTCTCCCAAACAGGTCTGCTCAGTGTGCTGGACCTCTCTGCCCAATCTGTCATCTATGAGGTGGCTTCAATGACGTACATGGTGAGGGCTCCTGTAGGTGTGCTTTCGCAAACCTTCCACCTGGGGCCCAAGTCCCATTGACCACTAGGGGGTATTGTGGGGATAGACTGTCCCACATAGGGCATCTTTGTCTCCTGGGCACCCCTATGGGACCTCTCCGTGAGGACCGTGAGGTACCTTGGGGTGAGGAATCCTCTCTTACCTCCTGAATCCATCAGGTCCCTGACCTGCTTGGCTGAAGCCTGAGCTTGGATAGAGGTGACACACAGAAATGTAATATTCAGTTCACATAATTGTAGAATTTTTTGGAATTTATTAACATCTTTTGCAAATTGGGAGATTTCATATAATAATCTAGATGTTTGGCTTTTCCTAAAAACAGGCTTTCCAGTTAGGGATGAGCCCAAATTCCTGCATACCTAGTCAGTGAGACCTGAGAGATACCAATCCGGCTACAGTTTCTACACCCCTTTACTCCCTATAGAAACATGCTATCTACCAGGCTCCTGAGGGCATTGAGTCTGTGATCCTGCTTTAAACAAAGGATTCACAAAAATCTGTATTTATAAAATTAATCGATCAGGTAATTCTTATTTTTACAATTTTTTTCTACTGATTTTTTTTCTTCACTGAGCTTTTCTGGCATGTGTAAGACGACATTCACCTCTGTAAAATTCATTTACTCATGTGTTTCTGGCAACACATTGATTTCAGTTGCAAGGCCTACATTACTGCGAGGTCTCTGATGGAGTGAGTAGTGTGGGGTTGGTGAGAGAATGATTCTGTGGTTCACTTGTGGTACTCCCAGGCCATGTCCCAACCTCAGATCTCATTGCCCTGCCATCTGCAACAATGACTGACCTCTCCTCATATCCAGTCTGTTCCATTCACTCTCTCCTGGCTAGGCTGGTAGGCTCCTCTGCCTCAGCCCTGGCCTCTTCCTGGCTTAGGATGCCAAACTCATCTCAGGGGCTGGACGGTGGCTCCACTGACTGCACCTTCATCTCTCTGATTCAGATTCCTCTGGGGCTCAGCATTGCGGTCTGTGTCCGAGTGGGGACAGCTCTAGGAGCTGCAGACACTGTGCAAGCAAAGCGGTCGGCCATCTCAGGAGTGCTATGCACAGGTGGGTAGGAGTCCTCTCTTCATGAGACACTGTTACGAATGAGTCAAAGGCCTGGGCCAGAAGGAGGGCCTGGCACACTAGGATCTAGGACAGCCAAATGATTTACCTTCCAAAGCTGCCATCCAACCCAGAGTGGCCCCTGCTGATGAGAAGCTGATAGCTGCCCCTCTCCTAGGACACTCAGCCCCAGAAAGCGACCCAAAACATGTCTTTCTTATTTGCCTTGTCCCCTCCTCAGTCATCCCCTGCTGTTGAGACCCTTGGAATCTCTGGGGACAGCCTGCCAGTTTAGCTTCCACCACTCAGGGTAGGCAAAATCACGACTCATTGAAAGCCTTTCATCCTCAGAATTCACCCTCCAGCTGTAGCTCTTTCTAAAGGTCTGCTTTTCCAGCTTGGAACCTGCTTATCTCATCCATCTGCAACCCATGGCTCTGTTTTCTGAAATTAACAGATTCAGACAAGCTCATCTGTGTGGAGCAGTGGTTCTCATGCATCAACCTGCACTGGAATCATCTATAGTGCTTGTGAAAACTGGTTGTTGGGCCTCACCCAGCAGAATTGTGATTTAGTAGGTTGGATACCCATCTAAAAATTTGCATTTCTAACAAGTCATCAGGTGAGAACTGATGATACTGGTCTAAGGACTACACTTTGAGAACCACTGGAGTAAAGACATTATATATGTTGCAAAACATAGGTGACTGCAAAACAGTATGATCTTAATCTGAATGAATGACTAATATGTTAGGACCTGTGATCAAAGGCTCCTCAGAGTACAGGGTTTGGGAGATCTCTACTGCTTTTCTAAGCTGGGGTCTTTCTTGGATTCGGTCTGTCAATGCTGTTCCCTTTGTTTTTTCCAGTTGGCATGTCCCTGGTCACAGGCGCCATGTTAAGCATCCTGAAGAATAAACTGGGGCATATTTTCACCAATGATGAGTAAGTGGGTAATCAGTTTTTTTCACTGATTCAAGGAAAATGTTTAAATCTCACTGGGAGGACTCCCTGTTTGGGGCATCCACCCTATGCTTGTGCACCTAAGCCCCTTCTTCCATTATTTCCTTGTCCAAACTAATCTAAGGGCAGTAGCAAAATTGTGTGTGGGTGTGTAAGGGGTATTCTGGAGTTTAATTTGTGGCCCACAGACAAAAAAAAAAAAAAAAAATCAGGGCTGTCATTTATGTTTGCACAGGGGAATGACCTCTATTTTTAAAATATGGGAGGAGAATAAAAACCAGTTATCATCAAGTCAGTTCCAACTCATGGCAACACTATGTGTATCAGAGTTGAACTGCTCCATAGGGTTTTCACGGCTGATTTTATAGAATTAGATTGCCAGGCCTTTCTTCTGAGGTGTCTCTGGATGGACTTGAACCCCCAGCCTTTTGGTTAGCTAGCAGCTAGCACATTAATCATATGCACCACCCAGGGCTCCTGAGGGAGAACAGAAGGGACATAAATGGGTATCTAAAGTAAAGTCTTTTCTTAGGGCTCTAAGTAAGTGTTCTTTCCCACTTTTTCTGCAGAAAAGTCATAGCCCTGGTGAACCAGGTCTTGCCAATTTACATCGTCTTTCAGCTCTTTGAAGCCATCTGTGTGAGTACTAGTGTAATCCAAACCCTGATCCCCAAAAGTGCATGAGTCTGTGTTCACTTGCTGAGTGAACTCAGAGAGTTTTTGTGAGGATTAATGAGTTAGTATATGTAAAGGGCTAACTAATAGTAAGTAACTATATAGTATTTGATGTTATTTGTTCTATTACTATTCAAAGCAATGGCTCCCTTCATCTTCTTAAATTCCAACAAGCCAAAAAAGGAAATTAAGATTAGCAAAACACTGAAAAATTCCATGAGTATAAAATCACAAACCGTTTTCTTCCTGATTCCTCAAGAGCTGAGGCCACTGGCCCATGCTTCAGAATGGTCAAGAGCTCAACAGCAGCCAGAAGAAAGGGGCTTTTCTGAGAACGAATGAGTTAATACAGAGGAATCTAAATTGGTGGTGTGGTGCCTAAGGCATTTGACTGCTAACCAGAAGGCTGGCAGTTCAAACCCACCAGCCGCTCCTCAGAAGTAAGATTGGGCAATCTACTTTGGTAGTGATACCCACCTTGGAAACCCATGGAGGGGTTGCCATGAGTCAGATCCGATTCTATGGCAGCGAGTTTGGTTTTTCTGGTTTATGATCACTAAAGTACAAGTCGCCATTGAGTTGATTGCAACTCATGGCAACCCCATGTGTGTCAGTGTAGACCTGGGCTTTATAGGGTTTTCAGTGGCTGATTTTTTGGAAGAGGTCACCAGGTCTGTTTTCTAAGGTGCCTCTGGGTGGTCTCAGACTATCAACCTTTCAATTACCAGCCAGGTGACTTAATAGTGTGCATTCTCCAGGGACTCTCACTAAAGTATAGGTCTCATTTAATGCAAATTTAATTACATGAATTTTTGAGAAGCACGACATGAAAAAACCACAAAATTAATGTCTAATTTTACAAGCAGAATTTGAAGTCATATGACTCCTACTTTAGTTATAGGAATTCTTCAGGAATACAGAAAGGGATGCCTAAAATCCAACAACTCTGTATAAAGATGTGCCCTAAATTGTTGTTGTTGTTGTTAGTTGCTGTTGGGTCACCGCTTACTTATTGTGACCCTTTGAAAAATGGAAGGAAACATTACCTGGTCATGTACTAGCCTCATAATCCTTGATATATTTGAGCCCATTGTTGCAGCCACTGTGTCAGTCCATCTTTTGAGGGTCTGCCCCTTTTTTGATGACTCTCCACTTTATTAAGCATGACATCCTTCTCCAGGGAATGGTCCCTTCTGACAACATGACTAAAGTAGTCTGGCCATTCTTGCCTCCAAGGACCATTCAGGCTGCACTTCTTCCAGGACAGATTGGGTCTTTCTTCTGGAAGTCCATGGTATTTTCAGTATTCTTCGCCAACACCATAATTCAAAGGCATCAACTCTTTTTTGGTTTTCCTAGTTCATTGTCCAGCTTTCACATGCATATGAAGTGATTGAAAATACCATGGCTTGGACTAAGTGCACTTTAGTCTTCAAAGTGACATCTTTGCTCTTCAACACTTTAAAGAGGTGTCTTTGAAGCAGATTTTCCCAGTGCAATATGACATCTGATTTCTTGACTGCTGCTTCCATGGTTGTTGAGTGCGAATCCAAGTAATTAGCAACACAGAAATCCTGCACTCCAGGCCTTTCCTTGATAGGATTGAGGGAGGGAAGGCCTGTACAATGATTGTTATCAATTCATATAAAAAATAACCCATTGAGAGAAATTATATTTATGAAGGATTTTTCCAAAGCACTCTAGGAATTCCATCCAGTTATCTAAATATTCTAGGATTTACCTTTGAATCAAGCCGGACATCTAGGATGCAGTGTGGGTCACAAGTTCTTAGCTTCAGCAGAACAGCTTTCTCTAGGCTATGTTCTAACTTACTCTAGTTCTTACAAAGAACATTAAAAGAAACTATTTTATAGAGCACATTTTTGCATTTGTTACAGGACATTGTTAAGGACATTATTCTTATTTTTCTTTAGTGCCACAATTGAGAAATTGCTTTTATAATTAAGTTTGCCTCCTCTTCCAGTGGGACCAGTGATAGAATTCTTATTTTCTATGGGGGACACCTGGGTTTGATTCCCAGCCAATGCACCTCATGTACAGCCATCACCTATCTGTCAGTGGAGGCTTTTGTGTTGCTATGATGCTGACCATGTTTCAGCAGAGCTTCCAGACTAAGAGAGACTAGAAAGAAAGGCCTGGCAATCTACTTTTGAGAATCAGCCATTGTAAACCCTGTGGATCACAAGAGTCCAATCCACAGTCAATGGTGGGGATAGTGCAGGACCAGGTAGTGTTTGCATTGTGCAGACAGAGTCATGAGTTGGGGCCAGACTCAATGGCAGCTAACAACCATTCATCCAATGGCCAGCAGCACTTCTCTATTCATTTTGGGTACCAGGGAACTCAGTGACAACTTGACAGACAGCGATTGTATGGGGCCTTAAGTCTTGCATACCTCCATTCTGTCATTTTTCCTTGTGGTTATTCTATTTGATTTTTAATTTATGTTTTCCACAGACCTTGTTTTTATTTCTTATTTTTACGGCTTTATTCAGGTATAATTTACATGTCATAAAATTCATGCATTTTTAAGCATGCAGTAACATTATTTGTAACAAACCCAATCTTATATAACAACAATCTTCATAATCCAGTTCAATAATACTTCCATCATCTCCAAAAAGTCCCTGGAGTCTGTTTTGTAGTCAATCCCTGCTCCCACCACTAGCCTCAGGCAACCAGTGATTTGCTGTCTGTCTGTATGAATTTGCCTTTTCCCAATATTTTATATAAATGGAATCATACAGTATATAGTCTTTTGTGTCTTGCTTCTCTTAGGATAATATTTTTGAGGTTAATCCATGTTGTGATATGTATCAATACTTCACTGGTTTTTATGGCTGAATAATATTACACTGTATGGATATACCACATTTTGTTTATTCATTCACCTGTTGATGGATATTTTGGTTGTTTTAAGTTTGGGCAATTATGACTAACACTGCAGTGAACATTCATGTACAAGTCTGTGTATGGACATACGTTTTCATTTCTTAGGTAGAGCGCTAGGAGTTGAATTGTTGGATCATGTGATAAACTTACTTTTTAAGAAACTGCCAAACCCTTTTCAACAGTGGCTGTACCATTCCTACCAGCAGTATATGTGGGTCTCAGTTGCCCCACATCCTTGCCAATTCTTGGTATTGTTTGTCTTTTTCATTATAGCCATCCTAGAAGTCCCTGGATGGCATAAAATTAAACAGTCTGTTACTAACTGAAAGGTTGGTGGTTCAAATCCTTCTATAGGGGCCTCAAAGGAAAGGCCTGGCAATCTACTTCCAAAAGATCACTGCCACTGAAAACCTTAATGAGCACAGTTCTACTCTGAATCACATGGGATCACCATGAGTCAGAATTGACTCTGTGGCAACTGGTTTATTTTTTTGTTTATCAGGCATGCACACATATCTAACTGTAGTTTTAAAGTGCATTTCTCTAGTGACTAATGTGGTATACCTTTTCATGTGCTTATTATACATCTCTGATAAAATGTCTATTTCAAGTCTTCTGACTATTTTTTTTAATTTTTAATTCCCAGTAGGACTTTATATATAAAGAACTATATATATATATATATATATACACACACACACACACACACACA